GGCGGAGGGGGGCGCGCTGGGGCCCGGGGGCCCAGGTGCTGCCCAGGGCCCAGAGGTCAGCTGGGACCTGCCTTTCCATGCCAGACACTCACGCTTCAATCACTGGCAAGGCCTAGGGACCACACCCGTGCACGAATTCCATGCACTGGGCCTCCAGTGACTCTATAATGTTCTAGGATTCTGGAAAAGACCAGCATTTCCCAAAATGCAGGATGTCTCCTGGACACTTTTATACAGGATGCTAATAGATACCCAAATAAGTTGGGAAAGTTAGGATTAAAATAAAGCTACATGGTTACTTTACTGCAGAACATTCTCAGGGCTTTAATATGCAAAGACACACTATAAATTTTCAAGATAAGATTCCATTATGAAGTATTTAGTAAACTAATTTGAGCAAGATCGTGAGCAGAGTTTGGAAAATGCTTCAAAGAAGGTTGCTTGGTGTTTTTCTTAATTGTCATGATATTACTGAATACTAACGACTTCTTAAAAAGTTCTTACCTGATATGTGTTGCAGGCAGAGATTCATATTGGCGAGACAAAAAGAGTTCCCTATGTTTCAACTGATGTTTCTGTTTATCAGTCAAGTCAGCCTCAATGGTTGTTTCAGATTCTTCCTCAATTTCTTCTACACAAATAAAATTCAAAGAATTCATTATTACAAAGCACAATATCTATCTGGATATTAAGAGAGACAAAAAAACTTTCATTCAATATTTTCTTCATATAATTAATGTTAAATTTACATATTTAGCTTTTCATTTGAATTACAATCATAAAATTAAGTTACATACCTTCAAAGGAAGAACTGCAATTTAAAAATGGCAGATGGGCCCTGGCAGAGTAGCTCAGAAAAGATACCAAGTGTTGGGAGAAATAGGAGTGGGGCAAAAGCTAAATAACAAGAGGAAAGGGTTGGAAGTCTATCTACAAAACAATAACAACAGGATACTCCATTTAAAAAGAGAATAGTCAGCCCTGGCTGGGGTGGCTCGGTTGATTGTAGCATTTTTCCATTAATGTGCACGAATTTCATGCACCAGGCCACTAGTTGCATAATAAACTATCATGATGGAAACAAAGAAAGGACAACCTTTCATTCATTCAACCAAGAGATATTAGGTGTCCAAACAGGCACTATTCAAGGTATTGGAGACAAGCAATGAGCAAAACGTTAATAAGAAGAAACAATTCAAAGTGCTTGCCTTTGGGGGAGAGAGACCAAGATGGCGGCATAGGTAAACACCGGAGACTGCTGCCGCAAACAACCACTTCAAAAATACAACTAAAAGACGGAACGGACATCACCCAGAACCACAGGAAGGCTGGCTGAGGAGAGACTCTTCAACTAGAAGGAAAAATAACAGCACACCGAGGCTCAGAGGAGGCGCAGTGTGGAAAAAACTCAGGTGCGGAGGTGCGCGCGCAAAGCGGGCTGGTGGCTGAGAGCGCGGTTGTCGTTTTCGGTCAGGGGGGAGTCTCAGACTCTGAGCTCCAGATACGGGCGAATCGCTGGGGACTCGGACCCAAACGGGAGAAGCGGGAGTGTCTGGCATCAGTTGGAAGGCAGCTTTCCCTCCGAGGTTTGCAGCGGTTCCGGGGGTTCTGAGAAGCAGAGCCTCTGGGAACGGGACTGAGAGGGGCCATAACCGCTCCCTCCGCCCGCCCGCCCTGTTGAGCCCGCCCCGCCCAAGCCCTGCGCAGAGCCATTTGCCAGATCGCCTCAGGCAAAGGCTAGATTAGCACCTCCCCAGAGGACAGAAGTTTTCCGCGGCAGACACAGCTGATTCACACAGCCAGTCGGCCTGGTGGTCAAATCCCTCTAGTATTAACTACAACAATCAAGGCTCAACTAGAACAAGACTGCGCACAAAGACCACTAGGGGGTGCACCAAGAAAGCATAAAAAATGCGGAGACAAAAAAACATGACAGAAATGGAGGATATAGAGCTAAAAATCGCAATTTTGAGGGCTTGCAAAAATGTGCTAGAAGCTGTCAATAAACTTGAGGAGAGAGTCACGAAAACTAATGAGACCCTCGATGCTATGATAAAGAACCAACTAGAAATTAAGCATACACGGACTGAAATAAAGAATATTATACAGACACCCAATAGCAGACCAGAGGAGCGCAAGAATCAAGCCAAAGATTTGAAATGCGAAGAAGCAAAAAACACCCAACCGGAAAAGCAAAATGAAAAAAGAATCCGAAAATACGAAGATAGTGTAAGGAGCCTCTGGGACAGCTTCAAGCGTACAAACATCAGAATAATTGGGGTGCCAGAAGATGAGAGACAGCAAGATATTGAAAACCTATTTGAAGAAATAATGGCAGAAAACTTCCCCCACCTGGTGAAAGAAATGGACTTACAGGTCCAAGAAGCGCAGAGAACCCCAAACAAAAGGAATCCAAAGAGGACCACACCAAGACACATCATAATTAAAATGCCAAGAGCAAAAGACAAAGAGAGAATCTTAAAAGCAGCAAGAGAAAGAGACTCAATTACCTACAAGGGAATACCCATACGACTGTCAGCTGATTTCTCAACAGAAACTTGGCAGGCCAGAAGGGAATGGCAAGAAATATTCAAAGTGCTGAATACCAAGAACCTACAACCAAGAATACTTTATCCAGCAAAGCTATCATTCAGAATTGAAGGTCAGATAAAGAGCTTCACAGATAAGGAAAAGCTAAAGGAGTTCATCACCACTAAACCAGTATTATACGAAATGCTGAAAGGTATCCTTTAAGAAGAGGAAGAAGAAAAAGGTAAAGATACAAATTGTGAACAACAAACATGCATCTATCAACAAGTGAATCTAAGAACCAAGTGAATAAATAATCTGATGTACAGAATGAACTGGTGATTATAATGAATCAGGGACATAGAAAGGGAATGGACTGACTATTCTTGGGGGGGAAAGGGAAATGGGAGATGCAGGAAGAGACTGGACAAAAATCGTGCACCTATGGATGAGGACAGTGGGTGGGGAGTGAGGGCGGAGGGTGGGATGGGAACTGGGAGGAGGGGAGTTATGAGGGGGAAAAAAAGAAAAAAAAAAGAAAAAAAACAACAAAAAAAAAAAAACAAAGTGCTTGCCTTTGGGAAGCAGGGTTGGAAGGAAGTGATAGAAGACAGAAGACAAAGTTTTACATCAGATTTTTAAAAAGCACTATTTAATACTTTCTTTTATTTTACTGAGGAAGGGAGAGGGAGAGAGAGATAGAAACATCAGTGATGAGAGAGAATCGTTGATCAGCTGTCTTCTGCAGGCCCACACCAGGAATCCAGCCCACAACCCCGGCATGTGCCACCACTGGGAATCGAACCATGACCTCCTGGCTCATAGGTCGATGCTCAACCACTGAGCCTCACCAGCCAGGCTAATACTCTTTTTAAATAAAAAAAATGACCAAATGTCATTTACAGATATAATCACAAATAATTTTAGATACAAAAAAAATTTTTTTTTAAATATATTTTATTGATTTTTTACAGAGAGGAAGGGACAGAGATAGAGAGTTAGAAACATCGATGAGAGAGAAACATCGATCAGCTGCCTCCTGCACATCTCCCACTGGGGATGTGCCCGCAACCCAGATACATGCCCTTGACCGGAATCGAACCTGGGACCTCTCAGTCCGCAGGCCGACGCTCTATCCACTGAGCCAAACCGGTTTCGGCAAGATACAAAAATTTTTTAAATACAATTATCTGTTAGGGGCTCACAGATCCTCTGCAACCTTACCTAGATCAGACGTGTACATCTATGGGAATAGTAGGAGCACTGAGGCGCAGAGTGTGAGCCAAGGTGGGGAGGAGGGGTCACTCTTCACACAGAAAGTAGAACTCAAGTTCAGGCCTCTAATGCCTTAATTTTGGGACACTGATTGGCAACAAACACACAACACTTTTCTGTTCCTCACAATTCTTAATAGTTCTTATTTATGGACCCTGGACCATAAAAAGATTTTTATCACATATAATCCCCTAGTTGTGGCAGTTCTTTTGAAATGTGTGAGGGTAATGAATGGGCTAAGTGTCAGATCTTTTCTTCTTCCAAATTTTGAAAGCTCTGAATGGAAAATGAACCTGAAAAACTGATTTAGAAAGATTCACCTAGCTCAAAAAAAAGAATATAATTATTTAAAATTCTTAAATTTTCTTTTTAATGAGCTACTCAAAGAAAAATACAGCACTAAAAGAGCCATTTACTTTCAAGTGTAACAACATTTCACCAGTAGAAAACGATGTGCACTGGCATTATTAGCACCAGCAAAGATCACACACAAAATTATACTTTACTAGCAAGAAGGCACTGGGGCAAGGAGGGGAGACAGAGTACAAGAGAAACCTGCACAAAAGGGATTGTATGAAGTTTTAAGGGGCATATAAATATCACTATTCTTAACACTGCATGTGCCATATAAATGCATGACCCATCAAGGCTCCACAAATTGCAAAGTTTTAGACTGCAGGATGAGAAAGAAAGCATGGCCAAAAGCTCACTAACACTAATTACACTTGCAAGCTGAGAGGGGATGGGATAAGGCCAGCACAAATGTCTAAGGGGCACCATCAGAGAAGAAATAAAACTAGGTGAGTACCTTCCAGAACACCAAAGCATCAGCCATGGGATATGGGAGATCAATCTCAGCAGCAGGTTACAATCAGGGGCTCAGGCAAAGCTGTAGAGATTGGGCATGTGACATGTGTAAGACCAGAGTAGGCGATTAAGCAATGTATTAACTGAACAACGAGGGACAGAATGTAAGCAAGAGGAGTAAGTACTGGACCTGAAACTGGGTGTTTTTCAGAACAGATCAGAATTGTAATTCCTATCTATTAGTTGGGAGGGATGAAGCAGGGAGCTGGCAGGAGGAGAATTCTCCACAGGTTATTCTTCAGCTTCCTAGATCTCTATTTTAATGAAATATCTGCCCACAGTGATAAGATATTAGTTCATACAGACCACACAGAAAAGCAGGTGGTTAACAATTTGTTTACAGAGGCATTTAACAAGTACCCAAATGTTTGTAGACATATTACTGGACTGAAAATAGCTTGGTAACTCAAGCCTGCCTGTTAAGAAAAAAAAAAATCCTCAAAAAAGGAATAAGCAAGTTGAATAAATTAGAAGAATTTTCATGACAGCTGCGATTTCAGGGAACTACCTGAATGAAGAGAAAAAATGTTTGGCAGTCTAGAGGCAAATGATCAATAAACAAAAATCAATTCTATTTCTATCACTAGCAATGAACAATCTAAAACTTAAATTAAGAAAACAATTTCATTTACAATAGCACCAAAAGGAAAAATATACTTAGGAATATTTTTGACAAAAGACAAATTTTGTATACTAAAAACTACAAACATCATTAAAATAAATTAAAGAAGACCCAAATAAATGGAAAGATTATGTTCACAGACTGGAAGACTTAATGTTGCTAAGGTGGCAATACTCCCCAAATTGATCTACAGATTCAATGCAATCCTACCAAAATTCAAACTGCCTTTTTTCCAAAAACTGACAAAGTAATCCTAAATTTCTTATGAACATGTAAGCAACCTAGAATAGCCAAAATAACTTTTGGGGGGGAAAACTTAAGAGAACTCACACTTTCAG